GCCTCATCGATCCRTCTGGGAACTGCTCSGGTGAGAGCTGGAGATCACGTCACGATGACAGCAACGGGACCACGCCATCCACAAATAGCAGAGACGCGAGTCCTGAGGTCTCCTAACCCAACACCCTACTCCATCATCTTCATCTCCAGTCTTTTCATGATCACCATTAACACCTTTCCTCCTGTCCTCTCAGTCTGTATCTGCTCCTCTTCATCACTCTATTTCTAACGTTTCCCTCCTATTCATAACTCTTTATTCCTGTTTGTTGGTTTCCTGCTGATCCCTTATTTTTTACCTTTTCCTCCATTTCGAACACCTCCTCCTCTGGTTTGTCTGGTCTTGTTAGTAGCCGGTCATGCATGCTTGCCACTCTGATTAACCAACAACCCAAAGGACAGAACACGAAACAGGCTCTGCTCGCCTCCGGAGAGGCATCGATTTGCTGGCAAACGGTAACCACAGAGACGGCTGGCACATCGAAATGAGCTCGAAAGCAGAAACTGGAAAATGAAAAACTGCAGGGACATTGACAGACATTTTTTACATTATAAAGTGCATCTTTTCAGACTGTCTGCCAAGCATGATTTTTAATAAGTTAAATTGTAAATCATTGACAAACTTACAGGAAGAAAAGCTATAAACTGTAGGTGATTCTGCTTCTCAAATGAATTTACACAAATGTGAAATTTATTCTTCCTGCTATGTGGAGAATTTCTAACTCAGCAGTTGTTAATGTTTGCAGAAACTGCTTCTTTAATGCAAGTGTTTATTTTAGCTTTTCGTTGGAAAAAAATCTGATTAATTACACAGATATTCAACAAAACACTCACACTCACATTGATTTTCTTTAGAGGAACAAAACAAGACGTCTATTACATCTTTGTCATTGTGTTTTCAGTGGCTTTCTTGTACTAATAAATCATTCATCCAGTTTGACAAGATTATTATGTTTTTTCTATACAGATTTATGTCTTTATTTCTTATTCCTCATAGGCAGCCGTTTTAAAAAGCTTTACTTTGCAGCACAAATCCTCTTGACTAAAACCCAGATATCATTTCTTTTTAATGCTGAGACTTTGATTACATATGTTGAATTATCTCCAATATCCTGAGAAAATCCTTGACAGAGGTAACGATTTGCCACAAGATGGTATTGTTTCCTCTGATTTGAGGTGCAATATGCATATCTGAACTTCCAGTAAATAAATTTGATACTTACCGGTAAGTATCCTCCGAGACAAACAGGAAGAGTCGACTTCTTCCCTATAATACATCATTTAGAGATGTGTGTTTTTGATATGCGGCTCTATAAACAGATGAGTTAAACACACTGCTTGTTTTATGGATGAGTGCTTCTCAGTCTGCAGTCATAAATCAGAAGCTGTCCTGGAATGTAAATGCTAATAAATGAAAGCTTTTACACGCAAAAGCCAATTATCCAGCTGGTTACTCATCAACACATTTAAATCTCAGTCGATTAAGTTCAATGTTGGTGGATAAACAGTTTAGTGCAGACCTGTAAAAGCTACTCTGCATGTCTGATGTGTAAATTGTTTTTAAAGGTAGCTACTCAATGCAAAGTCATGAAGAGCAATCAAAAAGAAATGATGAAGAAAACAAATTGGCTCTTTTTTCATATTGACCGTAATGCATACTTATTTAAAAAATAGCGAGTAAAGTTTGTGAAATACGGCATACCTTTATTTACTTGTGAAAAAAAAGAAGTACCTGAAAATGGGTTAATAATTTTAACATCCATGGATTTTACTCTTGCCTGATTCAACCATTCAAACCATATTTCGTTAGCCTAATGGCATAAATGTCTAAGTCATTTTTGGCCAAATATAACTAGCAATTATGTTATTAGGCTAACAATTTATCTACGCAGAATTTGTTGAGTGTGTACCGGCAATGTAGAATTCCTAACAATATATCTGGAAACCAAATTTTTCAAACATCACCTTTTGATACTGTTTAAAAAATATAATTAATG